TGCCCCGAGGCAGGGCGCAGCCGAGCGAGCGGGGTGCAGCCTTCCCTCGGCGGCGAGCCCAGGGGGCGCGAGACCCCGCGCGCGTACAGCCTCCTCTCCTCCTCCCCCTCCTCGTCCTGCCCCTTCTCCTCCTCCTCCTTCTCCCTTTCCTCCCCTCCCTTCGCCCTTCTCCCCCTCCCCCTCCCCCTCCTGCTGCCGCGACCCCAGCACCCGTCCAACTCTGGGACGAGTGTCCACTGGGGTCAGGCGCGTGAGCACGGCCGACGGCCCTCGTGGGGCCGAGCCAAAGAACCGCGGCGCCTTCCCCTCCCCCTCCCTCCTCGTCGTCGTTATCGTCGTCGTCGTCGTCGTTCTCTCCTCCTCCTCCTCCTCCTCCTCCTCCTCCTCCTCCTCCTCCTCCTCCTCCTCCTCATCGTCCTCCCTCTCCTCGTCGTCGTCCCCCCTTCCTCGTCGTCCCCGTCCTCGTCGTCGTCGTCGTCGTCCTCCTCCTCCTCCTCCTCCTTCTCCTCCAGGAGTGGTGGGGGGGGCAGGCGTTCGCGGCGTGGTTTCTCAGAAGCCCTCGCGCCTTCTGAGGAGCCGTCGGCGGCTTCGGACAAGGCCTGCCTTCTCTTACTTTCCCTCTGGGCTCGCCGCCGATTTCCAGGTATCCCTCGCTACGAACCAGACTCGCTACCACGGTTATTTAGTTTTCCGTCCCTTTCTCCTCATCCCTCCTTCTCCTCCTCCTCTTTCCCCTGCCTGGCTCGTCATCCCACCGCCTCCTTGCTCCTCCTTCTTACCTCCCCTACCCGTCCTACTTCTCTCTCCCTCGCATATATCCTCCCTCTCCTCTCTATTCCTTTTCTCCCCATCCATCATCCATAACCTCATCATGTATCCATAGAGATGCCATCAGATGTCAGCCGCCGTTTTTTGGAATTCGTCTGCTCGTTCACTCACCGGCAGTCAGTTTCCGATTGGAACTGGATTGTCAGCCTGCTAACCTTCTTGCTAACTTGCATGTAGGACACGAAGAATGATAAGTGAAAGAGCTCTCACATCAGCGAGAGTCCAAGCTTGATTATCAAGTGAGGGAGAGTTCTTTCCCCTCTCCCTCAACTCCGCCGATTCGCTTCTCACTTCAGAGGGCCTGCATGTGCTGGATCAGGATGCAGCCAAACAGGATCACAAGGCTGAGTAGCTTTCCAAGGGTACCCTTGCATCCAACCATGGGCCATGGGCTTCCAACTTCATTTCTTTATCTTGATTTGGTCTTTCAAGGACCTTGCATCCTTGCCGCGCTTTCTTCATGACCCTGTCGAGCAGTTGTCGGGTCTTGGGTGAAGGCTAGAGGATGTCAGACCATCAATCCGGCGCACCCAGCCTTCGTTTCACCGTTGTCCGTCGTTCTGTTTTGTAGCACCGGAGGCGGCATGAGTGGAGTGGGAGGGAAGAGGAGAGTGAACGCCTTGACCCAGCCAGGCTGGGTGCATAGGTAGGCACTGCCACGCCTGATCTGTGAGAGCACCGGTCATCTGTATCGTGATCTCCACACTAGTGTTAGGTCGGGCATGTCCTCCTACAGGCGGGTTTTTGAACAACATAGCCAACAACTAATCAAACATAGTAGAAACATCGTCCCCACATCTTCTGCCTATTTTTGAACATTCCTCCTGTAGAGGGACATGCCCGACTTAACACGTGTGGCTCCCGCGAGGAGCCCCTGACGGCGTTATAAGGTTCTTGGCAGGCCCGCCACGTGTCGATTTGGTCCCTCTCTCTTCCCTGCCCACGTCCTCCCCTCCCTCCCTCCCTCCCTCCCTCCCTCCCTCCCTCCCTTCGATCCTCCCTCCCTCCCTCCCCCTCCTCCTCCTCCTCCTCCGTAGCCATTTTGGCTCAAGCTTTCGAGGTTCACAGCGAACCACGTGGATACCGCTAGTCCGCGGCCAGACCACAAGTTTCTCTCCCAGCAGCTGGTGCGCCCCAGTTGCTGCTGCCTCCCGCGCCCGCGGGTGAGCAGGCGCCTCCTGGCATCGGTTTCGTGAGCTCCTGCAGGAGGAAGCGCACTCCCAGACCCGACGCCACCAAGGGAAAACCACAGAGGCAGCAGTCCACGGTGTGCGGGGCTTGCAACGGATGGGCATTCAACTGGAAGTTGGAGAAGTCAGGAGGCTGGTGCAACAAGTGCGAAGATTACGTCACGGGCTGGAGCGACTCGGCGGCACGGGCTTCGGGAGGGAGCCAGCGAGGTGCGACACCCCCTTGGGGCAGAAGCTCACCTCCACTCGCGCCTGCCGATGACATCCAGCAAGTCCTCGATACGTTTCAGTCGGGCAAGGGCGCCTTCACCAAGACGAACGTGGACCTGGGCCCGCTACAGGCCTTCCAGGCCTAGCTAGTGGCTAAGGACCCGAAGCCTGCGAAGGTGTCCAAGTCGCTCGCGCTCCGCACGGCGATCAACAAGCTGGACAAGTCAAAGGCAGCGCTCGGTAAGGCGGCGGCCCAGCTCCTCGAGACAGAG